GGAGAGAGTTGCACAAGGGAGCCTGACTCGGTGAGTGGGTTGGAAGAGGCCTAGCAAAGGTGGCCGCAATTGATCCAAGTTTGAAACAAAGAATGTCTTTGGGAAAACAATAAATGGAAGAATGTACCAGAGAAAGAAACCATGGGTAAAGCATCAAATGAGGGGCATGTTCATCCCACAAGGAGAGCACCACTGTAAATAACGCAATAGCTCATTTAGTGGATGTTCAAGACTCTATTCCTGGAGGAGGGACCACTGAAAATGGAAGTCAGAGCCAAAGCAACCAAACAAACCACTATCCTAGTGCATCCACATGTGTGGGAAATTAATGCTCACTAAACATTTAAGAAACAGCTACAGAGCTGGGTGGTGATGGCACACGCCTTTAATCCCAGTACTTGGGAGGCAGAGGCAGGTGGATCTCTGTGAGTTCGAGACCAGACTGGTCTACAAGTTCCAGGACAGCCTACAAAGCCACAGAGAAACCCTGACTCGAAAAAGAAAAAGAAAGAAAGAAAAGAAAAAGAAACAGCGACAGACTCCCCTAGTCTTCCCCATGTCAGAAAATGACATCACTATCCTCCAGCTGGCTACATCGAAAACCCTCAAGTTCTATGTACCCCTCAGTAACAGCTCCATCAGCATCTTGAAAGTTAAGTCTTCTACCTTTGGACCACGAGTTGCCCCCTATACAGAGCGCCTAGGCAGATGCTATTTAAACATGTCAGTGATTAGAAAACGCCCTCTCCTTTGTTCCCATCCTTCAGCAGCACCCCATTGCACACAGAATCCCCTTAGGATGGTCTTGGAGGTCTTCACGTCTGCCTGCTTTTCTGAGCCATCCCTTCACATGAGTTCTCCCATCACGCTGCTCCTTGCATGTCTAACCATCTTCAAAGACTCGTTTCCCAACTTCACAGAGTTATACCCTTCTGTTCCTAAGTTGCTCAGCACTAGGTGCCTAGTTTTATTTTCTCAGGCACTTATTTTTTGAAATGATCTCTTGTGTACTCTTTCTGCTCTTTTATTGCCTGTAAATGTCAGGGAAATGTAAGCTAATGAGAGAGAACCAGGCCCTGTTATAAAAACATGTCTGTATGGAAGAGTACATGAACTAGAGTACAAATATAAAATACTGCAAAGAAGTCATAAAATTTGCACACAAAAAAAACTACATCTATTTGATTCATCCCAGTAATGCCTGACAGGGATTAAGCATCTATCATCTTCTTGCATGAATGATAAAGAGAATAACAGTGCATCCTGTCCTCCCTGTGATTAAGTGAATGTTCCATCCCACTAAGACCAAGGGCTTGAAACACTGGAAATTACTTTTATGGATAGCTGTGTCATCCAGAGAATTTAAAGTGGCAACTGTCTTGAGGGATGCCTCCTAGAACGACAGCCTCACCCCAACTCAACTCCTCAGCCATCGCTGCATGCTGAATCAAAAGGGGTTGATGTTTGCAACAGACTAGGTGTTTCCTGATGCCAAGAGACAGGCAGCAGATGTCAGTATGATAAAAAAAAAGAGGTGGGAGGAAGCAACTTCCTCAGGAAACTGTGGGGAGGCCCTGGTCCCTTGGATAGAAAGAACGTGAGCCATCAAAGACTTCAACAGAGTGACCCCACCAGCATGGCACTGCAAAGAAGCCAGCCCACCACATGGCTAGAACCTTTCGCCCTAGAAACTGCAAGAGACATTAGAAAAAGCTAATTATGAAACACTAAGTGCTAACAATTTCCTTGAATTTCATTTTGCTGTTCTAGGACTTAGACAAAGTCATCTGCCTCTGATGTTGGGCAAGACAAAGGACTGTAGGTGATCGTACAACCAAGACCACTGTGTGCTGTTTGGGGGTGACAATTCAAGAGTACCAAGCTAATGAGGGAGAGCCAGGTCCTGTTACAAACATCTTTGAGTGGAGGATTGCGAGAACTAGGAGGCAGATATGAAATACAGGAAAGACATTACCATTCTAGGCAGTCTCAAGAACGTGAGTTATGCAGCTCCTTGTGGTGTGAGACCAAACGGTTTAACACAGTGTTAATATAGAAATGCCATTTCTGGCAATTTTTGCCTTCAAGAAACAAGACCAGCTTAGATGAGAAATTAGAAAGTACAGCCCATGCTAACAAGAAAAGCAATATACTAGCCCAATTTCTATACTATACTATGCACCAATTTCTTCTCAGTTGGATTCTCATTGAGTCAATGTTTAGTGAGACTCTGTGTTGGAGAAGTTACAATAGCCAGTAGAAAAGCAAACACCCTGGAGCTAGGAAATAGGACCATCCCTACTGACACTCAGACAATGGAGGGGAGCCTTTGGACATTATCTTCCCCAGGAAGATAATCAGGAGACCTAAGGAGTTCAAGCTCATCACTAGACAGACTACTATGAAAAGTGTGGTGTTTGAGAACAGAGGCACATATCAATGAAGGACATTTTCCTCTGCGCTCTGGAGTGTCAGAGATGGGGAGTTCTGCATCTGGTGGGCTCATGAGCACACTTACTACGGAAGCAAGAAGATGATGCCTGAGATTAAATCTGTCCATTCGTCATAACAGAGCTACTGTCCTGGGTGTCCCTGGATTTCCTCCTTGCCTGGGTTCAGAGATCCAGTGTACCCTTGACTACATGAAGCTATCTTTGTTGCCTCCCTAGCAGTGTGAGGGCATTTTTAAAAAAAAAATGTAAAGTTTACATAAACAAGAGCAGAATGTGTCACAAATATACATGTACACCTCACATTGGGGATGCTGCAGAAAGCTATTGTGATCAGAAGACAACGATGAGGAAGACAGTGACAACAACTAATCTAGAACTGATTCCATCAGTGCCATAGCCCCCAAGAGAAGAACTAATATTTTATAAAATGAACTTCTATGATATCAATACCCATACTTTCATTTTAAGAAATACACCCGGGGAATATTCTCTGCCCCGCCACCAATGTACTGAGTAACTATAAGCAAGGAGTTCAGCCTTCCTGACCCTCCCAAGAGGGTGGTGTAGAAAAGCTCTGACTGCATCTAAGCCATCTCTGCAGAGCGGGTTGCACTCCTGACCTGATGCTCTGATGCTCTGTCCCCTATACAGCCCAGCATTCTCTGAGGCTCACTCTTACATCTGTGTGTAGGGATGCTGCTAATGGTAACTCTTCTCCGCCATCTTGCCAATCTCCGGGTTTAATGATGCCTAGACTTCTGGAGCCTCCCCTGTGACTTCACCTTAAGATTTAAGCCTCTTAAGTGGATCTAACATTAGCCAGGTTCAAAGGACCATTGTTAAGACCTACTATTGGTTGGAGGATGGTTCAGCAGTTAAGAGCACTTGCTGCTATTATGAAGGGTCCAGTGCCCATATGGTGGCTCACAACCATATGCAGCTCTAATTCCTGGTAATCTGATGCCTTCTTCTGAACTCTGAGGGTACTACACACATGTAGGACACACACACACATGCAGGCAAACACTCATACACACAAAATTTAAAAATAAATATTAAAAGCATTAGTCATTAATATATTAACAAATAGTTTAAGATTAGAAGACAGATATAAAAATTAGTGGTTACTAAATTATACAGTGTTTGGATGGATTTATATAAAATTATTCACAATTACAAATAATTCATAAACACATACCTCTCTCTCATACACACACACACACACACACTCTCACACACACACACACACACAGAGAGAGAGAGAGAGAGAGAGAGAGAGAGAGAGAGAGAGAGAGAGTCTAAGAATTATTGTAAGATGGCAATTTTGAATTTCTGGTTCTTTAAAAACATAACATTACAAGTGAGTAGAATTTCACCCTTGCACTTACTTTTAGCACCAACATGTCTGGTACACATTTTAGCCTTTTGCCTCATACACAGGTAAAGCTTCAGATGCTAGGCTAAAATGTGTTGATTCTTCACAGAACACGAACACTCTTCTATGTGCAGATACCCTGTGCTCACCAAAGAGTTGACCTGCTCAGGCAGGTGCATTCATTTACTGAACACACCCACAGAAATAAAAAGCTACTCCAAGGAAATATCCAGGAAAACCTTGCATAACATGGACAGGAGGGTAGGAAGAGGTAGGTCATGAACGCTTATGTTTGGAGACCACAACAGAGGAAACCCTAGCCAACAAAAACAGATGCAATTTAGGGTGTAGAACATGCTTTGTTTTGACTTGTTTTCTCACTAGTCTAGTCCCCCCCTAGCCAAGACAGCAAGTAGATGATGAACTATTTTTGACCGCCCAATATTTTGATATGCAAATTAAAGATCTGCCATGATCCATACATTCTTGTCACTGGGACCTAAAAGCCATCAAACCTGTCCTAAAGTAAGATCTGTTTTTGCACCAGTGGGGCAGAATACAAAAAGGAACTGGGATCTTAATGCCATGATGCTGGCATTCAGAAGAAGCATAAAGCGAACAGCTCACTGGAACATATTAAAAAAAAAAAAAAAGAAAGAAACACAGTGTGGAGAACCAGAGCTAAACACGAATCCGAAGTGACTTCTGTCTGCCTGCTTTAGAATTACCAATCAAGGCTTCCTGTTAGCCCTGGGCAATTTTGAATCAAACTAAATGAAAGAGTTATCCATGTAAGAAATTTAAGCTCAAATCAGGGTCAGTAGCACTAATCTTCTAATATCGAGTGTGTATGTGCCCTGCACCACCTGGATACAATATAGAATTTTATAGCATGCATTCTCCCGGAGCACAGCTCTTCCCAGCCCCCCAGAGTGTACATGACATCACTGCCAAGCACAGCATCAGCAGAAATCATCTCCCAATTTTTATCCCAAAGTGACTGGATGTCAAAAAGGCTCTTAACAAAGAAAGAAACCAGTATGTTTGCATCTTGATTCTTTCACAACAAGCCAATCCACAGCTCCAGAAGACATCAAATGAACACATCTTATCTGTTAGCCCCTCACCCCCAGCCTGCCAGACTCCAAGTGAAACCTATGTGTCTGTCTTACCTGTAATCTGACTCTGTCCTTGTGGATTAAAAGGACTTGGTGCAGAGTTCAGGGAGGGCCGTGGGTTCTGAGGCGGGACACCTACTCTCATACTGGGATGAGGGATGCGCCCTAAATCACTGAGGCGGTCAGAGAACAAACTAGGTTTAGAGTCATCAAGCTTCTGTCTGTGCCCTGGAAATAGCAAATCATAAAATAAAAGCATATTAATTAGCTGAACAATTGACCATGCTGAATAGATATGTGAACATACATACTGGGTGGTTTAAGCCAAGGAATTATCAATACTGGTATTTATTATGATGTGTCTATGCAAACCACTCGCTCTGCGAGCACTGTAGGGTGGCAAGCCTCCCTAATTCTATCTATAGAAAGAGAATAGAGGGTCCCAAGGGTGATGTGAAGTCAGGAGCTCAGGGGAGAACTCTCTGGGTGCCTCTTCTAGCCCTGTCAATGGAATAAAGGGAAAAGTGGGTGTTCTCTAGGGCACCTTTCTTGTTTCATGATGGGGGTTCCCCATCAGAAAGCTCAGGAGTCTGCTACACTGTCACCAAACTGGGGCAGAATCGGGGGCAAACACATTTTTGAAGACCAATTTCTATAGCAGCTATAGTGACCTTTTCTTTTTAATGTTACTACACACCTATCTCTTGTAGAAAAATTAAAACTCAAAAGGAAAAGCAGAAAGGAAACAAAGAGAAAGGAAAAGAGAAGACAGCAAGATGGGTGGGGATGGAAAGAGAAGAAATAAAAGCAAAGAAAATCTAATTGTCAAAAGTGATCTGCATCTTTTGAGCCATGCCAAAAGCACATAATGAACCCTGTTAAGTCACACAGAATATGTTTTATTTTAAATCAACTATTGTAGTTTTATTTGAGAAAGTGGAAAATACTGGTGGACTAAATAGGTGAATGTGATTACCCGTTATTTGAATGAGAGGGAGAGGGGGGAGAAGGAGGAGAGAGAGAGAGAGAGAGAGAGAGAGAGAGAGAGAGAGAAACAGTGAACGTAGGTGCTTTTGTTCTTGTTTATTCAAGTTGTAAAGCAAAGAAAAACTGGATATTAAAGAAATGTTCAAATTAAAATAGATCAAAGTACTGAAACATCTCCAAAACTTACAAACTCATGCATTAGAAGGGGCGTGGTAGTGTCTTGATGCAGTGACTGTGCGCCTAACATGAGAGCAGAGCTCTGCTAGGAAGCCCCCATCTGCTGCTCGGTACTTTGGAATGTATGCTCAATAGCTGACATGAGGAACGTCATTGGAACACTGACTAGATGAAAAAGTGCATTTGGAAGCAAAACTAAAGGAACTTGTATTATTACTCATCACAGAGAAAACACTGAACATGGGTTATTTATAACCTTGGGAATAGGTGTCTGTCACTACCATAAGTGGTGTGACATCTTACCTTCCCCTTCATACAGGACAAGGGGGATAAATGTGTCAGGAGAGGGTTAAGCTGAACATTAGAATTCCCCAACTATAAGCTGTCTTCATAAGACAAATTCCTTATTTTATTTGCCCCAAAATGTATTTTCCTGTCTCCTTTTTCATTGCCTACCAAGCCCAAAGAAAACAGACAGGAAGCCAAGGCTTGGTAATATGAGTGTAGCTGTCTCCACAGCCAAACATGTTCCAACTGAGCCCATTAACTGAAATGCACCCACCACCCTATTTCCTGCCAGTGTGTGTTTTAGGCATTGGCTGTAACAGAAGGACTAGACCTAGTTGAAAACATGATCAGGAAAAAAAAACAAAGGATATCCGTTGTTAATTGTTGTTTCCCCATTTCATACAGATTGCAAATAGATTTTAGAAACTTAAAGGTTTTTAGAGGTGACCTGAAACTACCCCTAGACCCTAGCTAATAAATTGCTCATAGATAAAGTGACCTAAGCCTGCTAATGTTAATGGTCATGGCCCTCCACTATTGGCTAGCTTGGCTAGGATGAGGCTATAGCCCTAATGTGCACGAAGTGAGCTTTCTGTTCATCATGAGGTACCATCAATGTTGGCTTTCTACCTTCTCTCTGAGCTGCCACTGGTGACCCAAAGTGCCTAGGACATTTAAAAGTGAGTCCATGAGATGTCAAGACTAGTTTTCAATGTAACTACAGAGTTCGATTAGAAAAATAATAACTCATCCATTACCATAAATAAATGGCTATAGCTTAATGTACTGAACTTCTCTCTGCACAGCTCCCTGGGTTTAACTAATTTCACAATCAGGGAATTATACAAATGCTTGTCATGGTCAGATTCATAGAATCTCTCACTCTCTCACTCCTCCCCTCACCCTCTATAATTTTGACACAGCTATAAATGTTTCTGGAATTGTCCTTTTGGGGATAGCAAACTCCTTGAATGCTAGAGAGAAGGCTGTGTAATCTTACATGGACATTTGTACCCAAGGATGTGAGTTCAGCGTGTGCAGATACGGGCACATTTTATTTACTCTTAGCCTAATGCTGTTCCTCTTAGGAGAATGCAGGCAAGAGGAAAGGGCTTTGAATAACCCTTCAGTGTGAAAATTTTTAACAGCAGGTGACAATTGTTAAAGGCTCAATGACCCTTTAGAGTTATCCTCGAAGACAGCTACCACAAATCTACAAACAACCTAGAATAATCCATAGAGCATCTATCAGAAGATAACAATATACAAAAGCATATGCATTGCGCCTGTGTTTCTCTACCCTCTCCTAGCACCCACCACAACCAAAACAAGATTCTTATAGCACAATGCCAAACAAAAGCCAAACAGGTTCTTCATCTTTCAACCATGACAAATAGCAGCTGCTGCTAAACCACATCAGGGTGTACTCAAATGACAGGCTGAAAGATGTGCTGGAATCCTCAGCACCCAGGCAATCCTTCCAGACACTAAGAACACAGGGGACAAAGGAGTCAAAGACTCAGACAAGGACAGAGTAATTGGTCGTGCTGTCTGGAGAACTGAATCTTACTCGTCCCCCAAGAGGAGCTGTTCCAAGCGGGAGGTAGATGCAAAGAGTGGGCAACTTCCAGGTTATGGCTCCAGGAGAGAGACTCTGGGAACTGGGAGTGGCTCAGTAGATAGAGCACCTACCTGACATGCAAGAGCTCAGATCCCCAGAACCCAGTAAGTGTGACTGAGCATGGGGGCTCACATAATTCCAGAACTCAGAAGACACACACACTGGAGAACTCTGGAGCAAAGTGGCCAACAAGACTACCCCATACCGGTGAGCTCTGGGTTCAAGTGAGAGACCCTGCTTCAATGAAGAAGGTAGACAGCAACTGAAGAATTTTGAGGTCAACCTTAGACCTACACACACACACACACACACACACACACACACACACACGAATACCTACCTGAACACACACATGAAAAGAGCTCATTAAAACCACATACACATATGGAGGGCACTGTACAAGAGTATAGTCCTGGAACTTCTCATCTGGCTGAACCTTCTCCTGAGAACAGTCATCCTTCCAGACTGGCTGAATAGGAAAAGCCTCCCTCAGGCTCTGAAAGATATGGGCATCCAGGTCCCAGAGTGGGTGGATTAAATTAAATTCTTAGGGTAGGTTATGGAGGTAAGTTTTCTTTTTTTTAAAAGCTCCATGGGATCTAGTATGCAGGCAGGACTGAGAAAATCACTGTTCAAGATAGTCTGAGATCCAGCACAAATGCCAGCCATTCACACAAATGATGGTTCCATTTTTAGATTGAGTCCTGTCTTTTGTCCTGAGTTCCATGTTTCTATCTCCCATTGCCTCCTTGAAGATGCCTTGGGATGTATCATGGGTATTGTAAATGCAGTATGCTCAAAACAGAACTCTTGAGTCTCTCTCCAAAGCATCCTATTGCTCCAATGTAATCTCTAATGTCAATGGACATCAATGGCCACTCCATTTCTTGCAGTCAAGAACTGAGCTATTCTCCTTAGTCCTCACTCACCACATTCAGGCCACCACCAAGTCATGGCATTTCTGTCTTGATATTCCATCTATCTGTTCTCTTTGTTTCTCCTGGCACAACCCTAGCCTCAGAACCTATCTAACTCTGAGTGTCTGGCACTGTCTCCTTTGAAGTGTCCCATGCCAAGACTTTCCTATACTCCTGAGATAGAAATCTTCTTGGTTTTTTCTGTATGGCCCACTCCTAATTGCTTAGATCTAGAGGGAATGCCACCTCCTTTGAGAGGCCTGGCCTGTTTCCCATAACTAAAATATGTTCCCACCCTCTTGAGCACAGCCTTTATTTCCTTTGTGGCAGTTGTCACAATCTGTAATTATCTTGTGTATTTATTTGCCCCTCCTCAAATCCTTCAAAACCCATGAGAATGAGTGCCCTGTCTCTTGTGCACAGCTGGTTCTCACTATCTACTCAGTGCCTGCCATACAGTAGGTGCTCAGTGAAAATCTATGCAAGGGATGCATATGGGAAATGCCATGATTGGGAGAAAATTTCCCCGTTCAAGGTATCATATTACAACACTATCCCTTTAAAATGCTTCCTGACTTTTCACAGCATAATGAAGCCAGTAGGTAAACCTTTCTTTGGAAACAGCCCTGAGTGGTGCTTCCTGGAAAACTGGACTAATGGGACATTCATTTTGGCCAAAGCTCACTTGCTCTTTGAAAACTTCCCATTTCTCCCATTGTAATCATTAAGTGTTGTTAAGACCATTTAAAACTGGAGTGATAAAAAGGGTAACAGGGCCAGGCGTTGGTGGCACACGCCTTTAATCCCAGCACTCCGGAGGCAGAGGCAGGCAGATCTCTGTGAGTTCGAGGCCAGCCTGGTCTCCAGAGCGAGTGCCAGGATAGGCTCCAAAGCTACACAGAGAAACCCTGTCTCAAGAAACCAAAAAAAAAAAAAGGGGGGGGTAAACAGATATAAGCTGGCCTCTTGTTTGAAGCAGTATACTTCTTTTATGGCTGAGGACCCTGAGTCCTCATGAAAGGACATGGCTTTCTCAAAGTCACATTATTAATGGTGAGACTAATGCTTAGATTTCTTGGTCACTGGTCTAATGTTCTTTACTCTCCTGCTGCCGGTCAGCTAATTTTAGGATATAACAGTGAGGCAGAATTCGTTTGGGGGAAATGGTGACCAAAAAAAAAAAAAAAGAATTTTAAATGGAAAAGAAAAAAGGAGTAGTTTTCAGAAAAGATCTCTTT